TACGATATAGATATTAAATTATATTAAAACCATTTTACATATCATCATACAATTTCCAAAATCCGTCTTATTTGATTGGTCAAGAATAACCTAGTCACCTTTTCGCGCCAGCCCAAACCGCCACCTTTGGAAAAGTAAGCACTTGAATAAACAGTGTTTGGTCATTGTATGATGAATTTGTTTCCACGATAATAATTGAAATGTGGGTTACTAGAAAACTTAAAGCAATAATAACTCTTCGTTTCGGCCAAAAAATGAATTTTTCTGGAGTAAACAACAATTTTCCCATACTTACCAATGGTTAATGAATCCATTTTTACATTCAAAGTTAGTCCCTGGTTTTTTTCTAAAAAGTTTGTTTTTTTGTTAAAATCTCTTAAGAGATTTTAACAGAGTATAGACATCAATGGAGGTCACGTGGTCTAAAGACAAGTTCAAATATCAGAATAAAAGCTATAACTGCTGTTTTTGTGGTAAAACAGAATATATTATATTTCTATGAGTTATTCACAAGGTTTTTATTGTGAAATATAGGTCTCATACGAAGAGTTATTATCCCTTTAAGAGGGTTACATCCTATGCGACCAGGGCCGTAGCCTGAGCAAAATGCCAGGGGGAGGGGGGCAGTAAGCGGACACGAGGGGGCGAAGCCCCCGAGGGGGGAGGGTTTGGTAGGGGGTGTCCCCCTCCCACGGTGTGGAAAATTTATAAAAACTGTATGTATAATACTGCATGCTGGTGCATTTTAACTGTTATTTATTGCTAAATCAGAAGTCAGAAATTGTGGGTTCATTTTGCCATAAGTACAGTCATTTTTTCAACACAACACGCCAATTGGCCTGGGGGATAGCTCCCTAAGGGAGGGTGAGCTTTTTGGCATGAAGTGAGTTGGCTAGAAACAGTACTCCTTTGTAAACAGATTGTTGAATGATTGTCTTGTGGCCATGAGTGCATTTTCTCAGGTACAGAATTGATACCAACTGTGCAATTTTTTTTTACCTTTGCAATTATTTTTTTGCACCTCAAATCCCCCCCTGCCCACCCAGAGGCTACGGCCCTGGCGACCCAATGCCGTGGGAATCCAGTAGCACACATGTGATAATTGTAACACCTTATTTTACCTACATGTATACCAGATATACATATTAGAGTTATTTCACTAGCATCGCCTTTGTTCCATTGAACACATATTCCATCCTTTGCAGTATTTCCTCTTTATATGATAACATATATGGATCATATTCTCCAGCCTGTCTTTTAATATAGTCTCGATAATGGTGCATAGCCCCTAGTTCCACTGGTACCACATAGTCTTTGTAACCATGATTTAATTTTGCGCGGTGTGTCAAAGCACCCCATGTGCCCTTTGCAAGAGCGATGTACTTCGGTCTTTTATCCATAGCTCGCATTCCACGGGTAGCGATAATAGTTTTTGGTCGGTATTTTCGAATCCTTGAATCCTTGAAAGCAGCAGAGAGCCTTTGGGGGTTATTGTCCACCCGGAAAAACCTGTGCCGAAATGTATACACTCCTTGATGTTTTGGTAACACACTGAATAGTTTTTGGAAAGTCATGTTGGATCTAGGAATGAGAAATTCATCAATGTCTACCATGGCTACGTGAGTGTACTTCCTCATACTTCTGTAAAGACAGTCAGTTTGGGCTATGGTTTGCCCAATATCTCTGTACCATCTCTTTGGATAATTGACAAATTGTTTCAGGTTTGGCGGTGCGTGCCACGGTATAATGGAGAGTCGCTTTTCTTGCTTGTAATGTTTTAAAATAGGAAAAGTTACGTTATAATTTAGATCAAAAGCATACATAGTGAAAAAGCCTGCACCAAGCATTTTATAAACTTCAATAAATTCAACCAATCTTGCAGTCCTATTAAAGCCACCATAACATCCGTAAAGAGGCTTAACGCATACGGCAACAGTTACGTTCTTGTCGTCTGGAAAACTAGCATCCTGGATTCTTAAAACATTGTGAGGGGCTGAACACGGGTCTTTGGCCTGTACAATTGAAACTGCAAACGGCTCTTCGTCAGTCTTGATGGGACAATAAAGGAGAGTGGCTTTGAAACTGTAAAGATATAGTTTACGTTAAAAAAGGTGATAAGCTTGAAACATTTATTTGTTATTACCACACAAACATACACCTTGCAAATCAATGGGCCAAAGTATTTTTTTTGTCAACAGTAGATACCGCTTGTGGT